CCTTCCGTGACACTCACAAAGCTTTCGCCTCGTAAAAGTTGTTTACGAGGCGAAAACTTAAGCCTTTCCAGATATAGAATGACGTTTGCCCTAGAACAGACGCCTCACTGCGACTGGGACCAATGAAATTCGAATGTGACTTTTCGGAGCGTTTCCGACGTCGTGGGGTGATTTCAGGTGTCGAATCGGATCGCCGCATTCAATTCAAAATTTAAGAACAGTTTCTGTGTTGGGTTGGACTTCAAGTCGTTCATAAACAGCCGATTCATTGCACTGCCTGAATATCAACATAATTGTGTCTTTGCATCAGTGCGTCTCATTTCGTGAATAAATTGTGTGATTTCACCACCAACAACAACAACAACAACTGTGTCGTCAAGAATTGCACCAGCTCAGCGACTTCGCTGCCCTCCCGCGAGCGCCGCTCCAATTAAGGCCTCTCCGTATATTCCCTGAGAGTCGGAGATCCTCGCCCACCGACTGACCCTATGTCAAGGTATCCTGAGAAAACCTTTAACCCTCTCCGCGCACCGAAGTAACAAACGTTTTAACCGCACCAGTGCCGGCCTAGCTACTGGGTTCGAACCCGTGGCTACATCAGCAGATGGACGGTTACATTCCGAATCCAACATTTCTTTGCATTTCGCCTCCATCGATTTGTCTCTGTGCTTGTAGGCGTAATCGCGTGCATTCGGTAGGTTCTTGATGACACAAATCGACATCCAGGATCTACGACCATTCATGTTTGTCATTTTGTCCCTGCAATTTGAAATATTAAAAGTGAAAACAAACAATCTTCCATCATCCATCAGTGTTATCTACACTCAAGACAATTTTTACCGCATTTTGCGGACACAGTTACAGAAAATATGTATATATATACTTTTACTTTTGGGGTTCTAAAATATCAGAGATTTCGGTGTAGAATAAGAATAAAAGAATTATCTTTGGGAGTCGTAAAATGTTTTGCCCTAAAAATATCCATGTCTGATGGGTTGGCTCTGCCTTTATGTAGGATGGGAAACTGCTTGAAGCTAAGGGCACAGCTTCCACCGAAATGTCGTTGCTTATAATTTGTTTCCTGACAACCTAAACAGAAATTCCCCCAATCGGAATTCAATGCACGATTGCCTCACCATATTTCAGAACAGTTCCCACGTGATCTTTCTTGTACTCAGATGCACACAGAACATGGGCCAGCGTCCTATTATAAGGTAACACATTTTATTACATCGAAATGGAAGGAGAGGTTACCACTATTTTAAAAGGCTGTCAAGTGACTTGTGTTCTGAGCTAACTGCGTTTGGTACACTTCATTAAGCCATTACTTTCGGTCTGAATAATAAATTTAATCACACGCTTTCTTTCGAGAGATAAGCGTGTCTTGTTGGAGACATGCGTCCATGACAATATTTCCCTCTTTTAGCAATGCATTTTGAAAAACTTTTTGTCCTACCAAAAATAGTTCTGGAGAGGTTCTGATAGACGTAAAACAGACAAAAACCAATATCAAATGGATTTCCGGCTCTTCCTCAAACAAGTATGAAGAAATTTGTCTTCTGGGATATTTTTGGAGCTCCTTACTCACTCCGTCAACAGATGGCAGGAGACTGCGTGGTCAAACACGCCAAGAGACAGCCATTTTGAAATAAACTTCCATCATAAATGGGAACATGGGGCGGTACGCGTCGTTAAACCTGAAACTGGCCTAAGACTTTGATGAAAGCCGAAGATTATGGCGATGCTGATGTGCTGAACGCCAGAAACTTCCTGCCCAAGAGAGTGCCACTGATCAAAGAAACTTAGTCAAAGAACTTCTTATTAATGCATTCACAATTTACGTCTGATTAGCATTTCCTAGTCATTCCCCGTCTGCCTTAACCAATCAGCTTGACCGCAACTTCGCCCTGCCGCCTTTCATTCTACCCCCTTCCTCTCATCCATTTTTCGCGCCCTTATTCGAGGCCCTGAGTAAGCAGTAAGAACTTCCGAAACGTCGGTCAGTTTCTACGTCACTACACGGCGCAGCATCTGCAAGAACGTGGATATCTTGACTGGTAATGATTCAGTTCCTAGAGCTTCTCGAAAGAAACAGTTTGTGATTTTACAGCCCTGAAGAATCATACAAAGAAACAAACAAACAAAGACACAAACCATTGATTTTCCTTGTCACTGAAACATGAGACATGGGAGAGGAAGTCTTCCCCGTTACGATTTTCACCGATTACGAAGATCGTGTCGTCCATCACTTCTAAGTGGAGTTCATCTGAATAGTAGTTCATGGCAGCGATCTCGGTCCACGTGTCTTCTGCAGGGTCATATTTTTCGATACTGAGCCTGCCTGATGTCTTGTTGTGTCCTCCTGCACAAACACACACAGTAACAGGTCACAGGATATAAAAAAAGCTGCCAAAGGGAACTTATCCTAACCCCATTCAGTGGGGCCTATCTTCATATGTATTACTCTGAGACCTGGCCACGAAATTTGTGGCTTTTATGGAGCCACAAGATTCATTACCTTATTCACAAAAGTCGGTAGTTGGCCTCATCTCACATACTCTAGATCCTTAAAAACATTTTAATAATATCCTTCTTTTTACGCCAATGTATCACAAGTGGTATCTTCTCTTCAAGATTACCAATTAAAATTTTCTAGATGTTTGTATTTCCCGAAACTTCAATGCTTCTTACAAACGGATTTATGCTCTTAAAGTTTGTAATTCCGTAAACGGAACGGATGAATTAAATACAACGAGAAAATTCATTTCCTCTTGCATTGTCAGTATTAACACCAGGAACAGCTACAATTTCATTTTCGTACTTGTAGCATCAGGAAATTGCGTGCGAATGTAGCCTTAAAATCAACACAAGATGCAATGCTCAAAACGGCGTTAGGAAACAAGTGACGAAAATCAAAGACTACGAAGGGACTACTTTAAACCATCGGCTTTTTGGGGATAACAGCGGCAAACTGGAATTTCCTTGCTACAAGAACAAAATATTTACCTTTAAAACTGCAACTGTGTGAAAAATGGGGCTTACGTTAGTTGAGATACCACAAGAGATTGTGCGATGTTAGTTAGTTAGTTAGTTAGTTAAGTGTTTTTTTTTGGAAAATGTAATCGATACCACGAATCGGGGTTATAATTACTTACTAACTCTGTAATGACGGGAGAAGAATGCTGTTCATAAAATCTCAGTCACTCAAAAATACCAGGAAAACATTTCACGATATCAAATTCTGTAAGAAGGATAGATGAGCATTACTCAGAATGTCGGGAGTTCTCACCTAGGACGTACAGACAGCCGTGGAACGCGACGCAAGAAAGAAACCAACGTCTAGAATGCATTGGTGCAACGAACGTCCATCGGTCGCTGTCCGGGTCATAAACTTCCACCGAGTTTAGAAAATCATTATCAAATCCACCAGCGACGTATATTTTGTCTGTAAAAACAAATTAGCCATATGACACAAACTTTACACATATTTGGTGTAGGCAGAGGCGTCAAAATTGCTCCGTGTAGAGCACAAACATGGACAATCCCTAATTAAATTTGTAAATCTATTAATGTCCCACTTCGAGTCACAGAAAGTCTTTGTTCATCTGTTTCGAATGCAGACCATCGGTGTGTCAAAGGAAGCGAGTTTAACTGATAAAATTTAATATA